TGAGTCTGTTCTGGGTAGCATCCTACTGTATACGTATGCCTCAGTTTACATACTTATTTATCCCACTGATCCGTGTTTAAGTTATTTCTGATTTTTTGATAGTTTTCTAGGAGAGAGAGATACATATATTAGTCTTCTAAAAGTAAATTTTTTATATATATAGTTTTAATTAGGGGATGGGTACTTTTGGGAATGGGGGTAATTTATGGTTCAGTTCTAGATACTGAATTTCTGATTCACAAGGTGTATGCCCCGGGAATTCCACTTACACTGCTGAGTTGTTCCCAACGGTGATTGTGGCCGGCCACACCTCTGCCAGCAGTGTGTAGGGATTCCCAAGGCCCACATCCTTGCCAACAGGTGCTCATTTCTTAGCTCTGGAAATAGCTTCTTAAATCAGTGGTAGAGTGGGGGAGTGGGGGAGATTAATTTTTACTCTAATTAACTATATTTACAAATCATTGAAAAAGTTGGCTAAATCAGTGTAACTATTTTTCTCTATGTCCTGACCATTAGGTAGTTGAATTCAGTGAATTGGACAAACCCAGAGTCCACTTTTTACGAAAAGTATTAAGTATCCTATTAATGGAAACAGAAATTGAAGACCTCAGTTTAATTTTCACAAGGTATGTACCCCACCCTTTCTGATGAGACATGGAAGAGAAATAAAGAGGTTGTTTTCACTTGTGTTAATTTAGAAACACAAGGTTGTACTACATGTGTAGCTTAATCTTTTCTGTTTTATTTTTAAGCTAGTATGCATTAGATCTGGGGAATAGAAATTTGTCTACTAGCAAACTAACAGTGATTGGTAGTAATAAAATATGTTAAGAAGTTCTTAATTGAGAATTCTGTTTTTAAAAGAAACTGGTTATGTCTCACTATTTGAGATACCCAGGATTGAGATCTAGGAGAGGCCAGCCCAGCCCTGACATGTGTTTATACGATTCCTTTCCAGAGTATCTGACAACCCAAAGCTGGGGATGTTACGTGAGGGTTTGAAGCTTTTCATCAGCCACTTCTTGCTAAAGAACGCACAGGCCCACAAAAGCGCCGACGAAGCCAACATGCTGCGAGAGAGGGCTGACCTTGTGACAAAGTGTCTGCACGGAAGAGCTTCCCTGAGAATGTAGTCAGGGAAAGAAGGAAGGCAGGTGGCCCTTTGACTATAATGTCCTTTGTAAACCCAAAGCTTTATTCTGTTGCCTGCGTGTGAACGTTTGGTAGAGCTATATCATTGTCTATTATTGTATTATATTTTGAGATAATTTTTGATCTAAGGTTTTATTGTTTGTATTTCAAGCCGTTTTCAAATAACTGTATCTTGGGGGTGAGAGGAGAAGGAGGGAGGGAAAAGGGGGTTCAGGCACACTGGACAGGGTTCTCTAAGCAGTGAGGCTGGTATGTGTGATTGTCTTAAAATTGTTTAATAGGTATGGCCGAGCATGACGGCTCACGCCTGTAATCCCAGCACTTCGCGAGGCCAGGGCGGGTGGATCACTTGAGGCCAGGAATTTGAAACCAGCCTGGGCAAAACCCTGTCTCTACTAAAAATACAAAAATTAGCCAGGCATGATGGGACATGCTGGTGATACAGTTACTGAGGTGGCTGAGGCACAAGAATTGCTTGAATCCTGGAGGTAGAGGCTGCAGTGAGCCAAGATTGTACCACTGTACTCCAGCCTGGGCTGGACAATGAGACTGTCAAAAAAAAAAATTAATAGGTAAAATAGGCCACTAGAGGGTGCAGTTATGAAGAACTTGATGAGGTTTTTAGCTTTTTAAAATAATTGGTTAAAAGTTCAAAAACCATCAGTTAAATGTGATTCTTCTTTTAAGACGGAGTCTTGCTCTGTCACCCAGGCTGGAGTGCAGTGTAGTGTAATCTTGGCTCACTGCACCCTCCGTCTCCCGGGTTCAAGCAATTCTCCTGCCTCAGCCTCTCTAACAG